CGGTACCGCCACCCCATGTCACCGGAACCGTCACCGTGCCGGCCGGTACCGGTTCCAGTCCCCGGACCGGCGGTTCCGGTACCGGACCGGCCGGTTTCGGCCCCCCTCCTTTTTTTTTTGGTGTTTTTAAAATTTTTAAAGTATAAAATTGTAAATTTACAATTGTTTAAGGAAAGAATGAAATAAAAAATCTAAAAATGTAGTTGTTATTTAAATATTTTAAATGAATAATACACTAACTGAAGAACAACCACATTTAATATCCTGACGGTTCAAAAAAAGCGACGATGTAAAGAACCGTAAAGAAACCCTCGAAGGAGCTTATATATCGCTCATCTAAAAAAACTAATTACATATCTACATTAACATAAAAAAATTATAATTTATTCTTCAGAACTCGGACTTCCATCTGTTGTTGCATTCATTAATGCTCCGATTCGAGTAGGTACGATGACTCTTGAGCTCGACGTCTTGCCAAGAGCCAATCTTGGTTGCAAACCAGTGTTTCAAGAGATTCAGCGCTAAGACAACTTCGAAAGTCGGTTAGAATGTTGCCGCTAGCACTGAATTCTCGTTCAACTGCTACGGTTGATACCGGAACGGATAACACTTGTCTTGCTAGTATGCCGAGACATGGGAACATGTGTTCGTTCCGCTTCCACCATCCGAGCACATCAAAATCCACGTCGTCGTCGTCGTAATCGCATGGCACACCCTGGTACATAGCAAGTTCGTTGTGCGAGCTTACTGTTGTACCACTTGAACTCGTCGAAGAATGAGCACGCTTCCTTTTCTTTGCAAGAAGACCACCGACTATTCCGGCAAAACCTTTTTTTGATTTCGGAGGCGGAGGTGGTGCTGCTTCTTCTTGTACAGTGCCGTATAACCCCTGATATTCCTCAAACAAATTCTCAAAAAAAGTAACAGCATTATCTCTTTCTTTTTTCCATTCTACTAAATAACTGTAGTAATAACTATTTTCATCTAAAAACAACTGTAGTAATACTCAATTAAAATTTTACAATTTTCAATCTTAAAGCGTGGATCACAAATAATACCTATTTTATAAATATCAGGAATGTACAAATAATAAGCACACCATTTTTGTATCATAGGAGAGACATATGGGTACAAATCTGGATCAGCATTACTTTCACGAAAACATGTTGCGATTGTAGCGCACTCTTTTAAAAATGTATTTGTAGTTGGTTGGTAAACATGAGAAAAAGTAAGAGTTGCGTTATTAAAAACTTTTAATACGGCATTCAATTTTTCAACAATAACAAATTCAAAAGGATCAATGATTATACGAAGTTCATCCCTAAAAAATTCAGCAAGTTCTTCTTTATATTTTAGAATCTGGTGAATCAATTTGCATGTACTATTCCATCTAATGTGGATATCTTTGGCAAAAACTATTTCTTTTCTACCCTTAGACTTACATAACATCTTCCAGGACCTCGAAACAAGACGAGCCCCCCAAATTTTTTTAATTCCTTCTTTAATATTCGTCAAAACTCCGCCCATAGCTTCTAGTCCCTATTGAACACATAAATTTAAAACATGACAGACACACCGTTGATGCAGAAATCTACCCATAGACGTAGATGGTGGGCAAATTTCTCTAAGTCTAGGAATAGCTGCAGTATTATTAGTAGCATTATCAAAACCAAATGAAAATACTTTGTCAGATAAGTTGTATTCCCGCAGAATACTCTGAAGCAATAGGAAAATATTTTCAGCATTATGCTGTTCATTGAAATCACGAAATGCAAGAACACGTTTATGCATAATCCAATCACTATATATCCAATGACAAGTAACACCCATATAAGACAAATTATGATAAGTTTCACTCCAAATATCAGAACAAATAGCAACACGAGAA